CAAAAAGTGATTTGTACAGAGTATGGAATATGGGACTGTTTCCTCTAGATTTTGTTTATCGCGTCTATCCATATCGGCACCACAAATATAGTTTTAAGAAGAAACAAATGTTCGAAAAATTTCGGACCAACAGGCTGGGGACAGTCCTGCGGGTTTCTCTTTTATGGTGATCCCGACCAGTGGGTATTCACATATTTTCCAATATGCTCGTCATCTGTCCGATAGCGACAACTTTGAATGGTCCAGTGCCTCATTAAACGTGCGGCCGTTATCTGCGTCGAGCAACATTCTCTTAACCGACTGGTCATACGGTAAGCTTAATTATGTTCCTTCAAACTCGCAACTACTGAACTCTTTTTTTGGGTCACCAACATACTCCACATTCAGGCAAACGAACGTGCTAGTATAGATGGTCCAGTGCACACAGCTACGTCAATCCCTTTAAGTTTTTCAACACTTATAATAGGGAAGCATTTACTCGTTGTATAAGCATTAATTCCTCTTGAAACGCAGATTTACTTGTACTTTGTTCATTCACGTTGCATGCAGACACGAAGAAGAGTACAGTTTTCGGAAGAAGGTTCCACCCCATAGTGAATCAGGAAACGATGACTGAGTTCGAAGTTAAAAACATTCATATAAAATTGTTGAATAGTACTAAATGTTTTATATACGACCGATATCAGCATATGAATAACAGTTATACAAAATTTTGACTACATAAACGAACTGAATCATTCCGTTAAACCGGATATACAACGTAAAAAAACGTTCGCAAAATGGATGAAGCCACAGAACATGTTAATCAAACAAATAATGATGCATTCCGAGTTCCCGCAGGGAATACTGAATGACAAAACTGCTCTTAAACAGCGAGGCACGGAATTGATTGGTTGGTTAGTCAACTGAATGAACGAACTATGAAGCACTGTGGGAAACAAAAATGCTGTTCAGTAGTGTTGTGACTAATAGAAGTACGATAGCCAATTGGAAAAACGAAAAGAGCTCGTTGGCATAAGTAGACAGTGGGCAAACACACAGGGCAGCTACAGGCGACGTCATTTTTTAAGATCTTCCAGAGCTGTATCGTATGCCTAAAATGATGACGAATGACCGTATTTCATCTGCGAGTACAGACGACACAACTCCAACATGACGAGCTTGCAAATCACATGACGAAACCGTATTTTAACGATCGATCAATGTACCACGTGCGTATAAAACCGCATAAGCCGTTGGCAACATAAAGCACCAGTGAAACAAAATAACAATACATCGCAAAACATAAAATTCAAACATGCAACCAAGTAAAACTTATTTATTATTCAACTGAGCAACTTGTGAAAACATTTATGGCAGTATGGCTTGTTCTCGTGTTCCTTGAATATGCCTTTGTTCAACTGCTGCAAACAAAAAGAGCATATGAAATGTTCGGGATGGAACTTTTTGCCCATAGCAGTGACGCATCGTCCGCTAATCGGCTTACGACATCCGGCACACAGAGAACCGCGCAAATCATGATAGTGAGTTTCACAATACGGTTGGCCTTCATGCTCGAAGAAAGAACCACCAGCAAACCTCTGCTTACACACCTAGAAATCGCCTAAACTATTACTACGGCATGCACTGACCGACAGGCTACGCACAAAAGCACATATACAACACGTCGACGCAGGTTAAAATATATATCGCACTTCAAACAGGGTATAATATAAGAGCCTGTCACCGCGCTTACGTCGACGGAGCCACTGCGGGCGGCTAGACGGAAAATTTCAGAGTACAGTATCAAGTTTGAAACTACTTATAGTCATGAGCAATGAAGTGGTTGCTATTTTGGCTAACACTGCACTTCATGCAAATCAAAGAAATGCAAAGGGCACGAAAAGGCGTGACATGGACATTATACACGACTTTAAGTTGAACTACAGTTGGTTCACAATACGAATGCCGTACATTTCGTTAGATCAGGTATACGGCAACGTCGCATCGCCCTTGCTTCTACAGGCATAGGGGGGCATTAGAGCAAGCTACGGTTAAATGGTACTTCAGTACACGTTGACTGCGGTGTGGCCGAACAAAATCCGTGTTCATGTCACTAAAGAGAATGAACTTCAAGCAGAGAGCTGATTTCAGGTTTAATATTAACTAGAGTAGGTCTACGTGAATACTGTCGTAGGAATGAGTCATACAATTAATTGCACAAGGTGTATGCAGGATGCGCAGATTAAAAGAGAATCTCAGAACCAAGTCAGTAGATCATCAGAAAGTCACTGGTCGTCATGTTAGAATTAGAATTTTCAAAGAGTTGCATCTGTCCAATAATCTTCAACATTACCAACATCTTCTTAGGATCGTCTAATAAATTCAGCAAGAAATCGTAAAATGTCGTAAAATGAAACACTAAACTGACAAGGTAAGAGGATGCTTCAAAACAAGCTCCATGTAATGTGTGCCATACTACAGTGGCTGAAAGGAGACATCAGACCAAGAGCATTCTATCTCTAAATGTAACGCATAGAGGTCATACAAAAATCATTTGCTAAACATGGATAAGCTATGCATACGTTCGAAATTTGGGCGTAAGGGTTCGTTCGAAAGGTACCTCCGTTATTCGTACATTGGAGCTAAGGGTGGTTGGCATATGACTGATATCTTAAGACTTGCTTTCGTTCAAGGCGGCAACTGGAGAGGTGGAGTGTGCTGAAAGGACCTCAGAACATCCTAAGAACTTGCCTGATTAGCGGAAGATTTAGACTATAGGAGAAACCATATGAACCTGCTATCCAGACGGAAAACATGGGTGAACGGAGAAACATGCCCAACCGTTTACTTAATTTCGAGAGGCTAAGAAAGAAGGCTGGCGAGTGCACGTCAGATGAGGATAAGTGTTCAAATGTCTGAAAGTTATGAACTTGCCGGTTTCTGAGAACCTACCGCAAACTGGTTAACAAATATAGAAAGGAATTTAACGTATATAAAGTATGGGATCATCCTTATGCATTTTTCGAAACTAAAGCAGTGAGAGAAAATATACAAACTAGAATTGAACCCAGCTTAAGGATCGAAAAGCCGGAATACTTAAACTTCAAGCCTGCCTTAAAATCGACTAACCAATAAACTAAATCAAATTTCTGCGCCGTTTACTTGGAAGTACCTTGACGTCTGGTATCAACTATCCTCTTACCGTCAGCGGAGAAACAGTTAAAGCACTACAGCAGAGTACAGGAAAAACTCCATGCAATTAAGGCTGAAGAAGTGACTAGAGATTTATGATTAATCATGCAACAGCTCGAACTACAAGCTTATTATAGCATCATATAAAGCATAATAATGTATGATGCAATATAACTACAGAACAACAACCGCAAACACTGAAAATGCAACACGGAATTAATAAATAAACACAAATACCGTAAACTGAAAATGATCATGGACAATATCCGCAAGGACCCTTCGCAAGAGAGTGAATGAAATAAATATAAAAAATACAATTGCTTATGACGCACGCTACTTCTAAAGTTTTGTACCTTTCAGATTTTATTTGACGCAAAATAACAAAAGGAATCAAACCAATTAATAACCCCGATTCTGGCTAAGGTAGCGATGTTTAGTCGGTAGGACATCTGACTCACAGTCGAAGGATTACGGGTTCGAGTCCCAATCGGGTAAAACGTAGGTAAATAAATGCTACTTCGTAGAAAGTAAACAGAAATCTATATTCTGTAATGGGCATCCAACTGCTGATATAGATATTTTAAAACAAGGCGTCTCGTTTGATAATGTTATTCGAAATTAGAACCGTATTATAAGCTCAATGAAAGAAGAGTGCCGCAATTGGAGTTCATGCATGAAAGTGTACAAGTGGCAGAAATTTCAATGTTTACAAGCTACCCTTCTCTTGCTAAAAAGGTTAAAGTCTTGACCTTACAGTCATCGCAATGGGAGGCATTCATCTCCCACTAATTTGAAGTCATGTTACTACTATCCCTACTGTAAAAAAGTGATTGATCTTTCTAAAATTAATCTTTTCTACAGATTAATATGCAAAATAAAATTCAGAATTAAAAAATAAAGGGATAAATACATATTTGACTCAGAAATTTAACCAGATAATCAAATTATGCATGCTAAGTTGGGTTGGAGCAAACATAAATGATTTTAAAACACAGTCTTTCAGGTAACAAAGAACACATCAAGTTCTAAAGCATGAAACAGCAGGCAGCCTGCGCATCAACTACGATGATAAACTACGTTCAGCAAAATACCAGTAATGAAACTTAAAGCACTGAAACCACTCGTCATTCATGTCGTTCCTTACTTGGCACACGAAACATTCTGGATGCCACTGTGAGCTTAAAGCGGTTATGTAGCTGTCAGTGATTGGTCGTTCACAGCCGTGGCACCGAGGGGCGAACATAGCGAAATAGTCCTTTCGACAGTAGGCTTTGCCGTCCTTTTCGTGAAAGCCCTCTTCACCGAACTGCTTGCCGCACTGCGCACAGAAGAAGTGCTCAGGATGCCAAGTCGTATCAAGAGCTGTGATGCATTTCTAAAAAAAATTATATGAGAAAAACGAACCTGAAACATAATTTCCGCATAGCAATTATTTGCAAAAAATAAAGGCCAAAAACGCTTATTACGTAATATTAAAAAAGATCAGGATACATAAAACTGAATTCTGATACGAAGCAGAAATCGGACGAGTCTGCTTTCGACTGCGAACAAAAAAGCAAACTCATTAAGGGAAACACAAAGGAATGAAAATGGAATCTGGGGGGTCACAATGAATGAGCACGAAGCGCTCTGACTGATGAATTATTGGACAACGCCAGGCCCGGGTGAAATGCATGTGTCCTGGCTTACGACTAACGTGTCTGCACTCGAACTGTAGTAAATTTTAAAAAGAGTTCATGAAGAAGGGCCACTTTCTTCGTTAACGGAAGGAGTGACACACCTAATCTTGAAGGATGCAACAAGAGTTATGGCGATGTGATTACTTTCACGTCGATCACCAGTATTCCAATGACCTGGAAATTCTTGACGTATGTTTTAGCCAATACACTTTACAAGCCTTTCGAGGTGAATAACAACATTTTCTGATCAAAAAGAATGCCAGACGAAAGCAAAGGAACCCAGAACCAGTCAGGCGTGGATAAAGCATTAAGCTGGGATCGTGAATTGAGAAAGACCAACATGCCCATATGCAATATGCTGGACGGACTTTCGAAAGGCATTTGGTCTAATACCACAAAGCTGGATTCTGGAATGCCTGAAATTTAATAACCTCAACGACGGCCTAAGTTTTTCAAAACAGTGGTGAGACACCGCTATGCAACAAAGTCTCCATAGCATCGGTGAAGGAATCCACCAGTAAGATGCAAACTCACAGCTTAGATTACGTCTGGGACTGAATCAGCTCGGTAACTAGCTGAACAACACCCAAAAAGGATATACGTGAAAAGTCAGCAATCTAATATCCCACTTACTATAAAAGAACGACCTGAAGTTGTATGCAAGATCGATAACAGAGATAGGTAATCTGATCCTAGGGGCACAAATCCTTTCAGAAAGTATCGGGACGGAAGTCAGGGGATATTTAAAAACAAGAAATCGTTACTCACGTCCTTTATGGGTCCGTTGCAGTACGCGCAGCGAGGAGAGAACAAGTTGTGATAATCATTCTCACAATAGCCACGACCTGACCGTTCGAAGAAGTTGTCATGACCGATTTCTTCGCCGCAGTGAGCACAAACAAAATGTTCCGGGTGCCACATCTTTCCAAGGGCGATTACCACCTGAAAATACTTGCTCATAAAAAAAACAATACTATCACAAAGAAATTATCGTGCAAACCTGTCCAATGATTGGCTTGTGGCATGCACCACATTCACCCTTAGGTATGGTGCTAATGCCGTGCTTACTCAGATCGTTCTGCAGAGAGCCCAGCATGGAATCCAACTGATCCGAGTTAGACCCACCCCCGGTGGCTGAAGACGTTTCCATGCGCGTGCTGTACTTCATGGAAGAGTAGCCTTTAGAAGTCTGTTGCGTGGGTGGCGATTTCTAAAAATTTACTACTCGTTAGTACCACCGTTAGTTAATAAACCCAAGGTAAGATAAGAACTACAAAATGTCAGCAGAAAATATAACAGATTATAGCGATTACAGATTCTTTATAGAAGATACTGGCCGATTCAGCTTTCGAAACGATGGTTCATTAAGCGAAAAAATCTATCAGAGCAGTGAAGATCACTGAATGTGAAAAATCTCGAAGAGAACTCAGATAATTTAGCATCCGTAGGGTGCAACATGCTTGTGAGGGTATACCTTATTTTATGCCATGGAACGGTAAGGCAAGAGATGCTACTGATTAAATCGTTTTCTATTATCAAAATAACCATTTCAAATATAAATGTACAGTGTTATTTATATGAGCGCAACGGATTGTCAACACGGTCATAATTATCACCTCCATTCCACTATTATGCTCATCCCTGTTGCAGTGTCTGTGGCCTAGTTTCACTGTTAGATGAGGGCCTACAACACGTTTCTTAATCGATGCGTACCTTCTGCTTTAAGAACCACTGTTTTATTCGAGAGTTAAGTCAACTTCTTACGGCACGACAGTTTATCTAACAAAACGCCAAAACGATAGTACAGCAGCATGACAACAGCGGTCACTTCAACGCGTGATGAAGTTCAAATCATGGAATAATAAAGAAAAGAGTTCGGTCTGTCTACGACGTGAAAACTGAAGGAGGATTGAAGATTAGGGAAAAACTTAGCCGAGAGTGAGCGATGAAATTAGTTCAGGATTAGGGATTCTCTCTGTTCCAAGAGATACTGATCTTGGAACAAAACATTTTTGACATCGTTCATGAATCGTATATTGGTAAATAAAATGGACCATTATCCGATGCTACGTAGTTGTTACTGTTCATTGAACCAAATACAACGAACTGAATATGGCACAACAATATTAATGCTTTGAGGAACAGTGAAAGCAGAATGGCACGAACATGAACAAAATATTTCTATTATCTTCCAGACTGAAATATCTTTTGTAAAGGATATATTAAACAGAGGCTGATCCAACTA